AAAGCGTAGGCAAATGGGTCGACTTCAATTGATTTTGTGATCATCAAGGCGCAAAAGGGGGGTGCGTCCTTGCTCCCGCTGTCTGCATATAACGGCCGCTTTCGTGAACGATGCTGGTGTGCAGTTTGAATGCCGAGCTGGTGCAGGCTTTTTTCCAAAGTAAGACTTTTGTTCCGAACAAACTGGCTCACCAAATTAAAGTATGCATTCTCATGTTTGTGGAAAATTGCAAACTGCTAGCGTTTCATTAGTGACGAGCTGCAACGCCTGGCTGAAATGTCTACCACTGCCTCTTCACAAAAAAGTTTTGTTGTGTACCAAACTGCTATAAACCTGGTCCCCAACATTCACTTTGGCATCATACCCCATTGCACAGACTTCTGTCACCTCTGAAGAACATTGTTTCCTTGGCGATGTGAAACGCTGACCGCGATGCGGCGATACATTCAATGTACTGTTTGAGGCAGATATCTGGTGCTAAACTGGGAGTCCTTTCACAAGCGCGTCGTGATGGATTGGGACCACGGTCACAGTCAGCCGCCTAAGGCAGCTGTTGCATTTTTGCCGAAAGAACCAAAACTGGATTCCGAAATGGCTTTATTGGGGCCAACCAAATAGAAAAAAACGAAACTTCGGCAGCGTCAACACTGGTTGAAAGACGCTAACGAAAGATGCTAACGTGAATTTCATGAATTGACAAGCAGAAGTACAAAACAGAAGGATATGGTGGGACGTGATATGAATTCAGTTCAGCGATCGTCAAGTTCGAAACCAGGGAGATGAGAAATGCAAACTAGGGGAGCATCCTCGGGTTGTCGGACGCTTGAGACTGTTTACTTTCAAGCGGTCCCACGCTCGACGATGCTTTCCCGTTCGCACATAGGTTTACACAGGTTCATTCCGAACCCTGCTGAGGTTCCTAAACGGTATTTTGAGATACACGGCCGTAAACTACTACATCGTCTCACTAAAGAAAGAGACTGGTATTCTGAAGAATCTTCACTAACATCCCCGTCATCTACAATTAAGTAGATACTACTCATAAGGTTTCTGAAAGTCCTTTGTCAGCGCACGACCAGTTTTGCACAGTTCCAACTTTCCTTCAGCCTCACGTTCTACACGGACCAAAATGGGACAGATTTTGAAAGCCACTCCGATTCTCACACGAATTTGGTTTTCACCACCACCACCACCATCATCGTCGTCGTCATCATCATCACAATTGGTAGCATGACATCAGTGTTCAACACTGATATCTCACTCCCGTACAACCATGATTTATTTGAAAGACTTGTTGTGAGGAAAAGAATAAAGGTGGACGGGAAGGGGCCTAGTGCTGGCTTACTACAATCATTCCGAGGTGCCCACACCTCTAAGCACTCATTCAGGCAATCTGAGTAGAAACTGACAACAGGATCATCACTGACATCGGTTGGCCATATCTTGCAGCGCCTTTAACCAGGCGCAATGAGGACCATGCAGTCCCCATCCTAAAGAGCATTGGCAGCACTCAAGCGTTTCATAATTCCCTTCATACCCATCTGCCAGGTCAAAGGTTGGCCACCTTTCTGCTTCCGCTACTCTGAATTGGGCATGGAAAACAGCACTTTTTTCAGCAAACGATGGGTTGGCCATACGCAACACAAGTCTCAACCAATGCAGCTTCTTGTGCTGGACACATTCTTCATTGGGGGCAACCGTGTGCGTATCCACGGAAATTCGTACCTGGCATGAGATCAGCTACTTGACCTAGTCGTTCCATTCAGTGAGGAGTTTTCATATCTTCGTCTCGATCGAAGTTTTCAAATTTTGAGCTCAACATTCTTTAGCACAAGAGGTATGGCACCAGCATCCCTCTCTTCATACATAACACACAAATATTGTCATTAGGATGGTTAAAAACATCCCAAAATGCAGTGATTTAAGCTGTTAAAAGGGATCTCTGCAAACAGAAGCTGTTTCCTTGAAAAACACTCCCCGAAAGATATGGTTTAATGTGCGATCTTAATGAAGAACGACCGCCCTTTCGAGAATTTTACCATTTCGTTCTAATCTGTTGCCCGCATACACTCACTGACTCTGGCCGTCCAAAGCACATACACAAGCATTGGCAGGCAAACATGGAGGTACCTTTAATAGAGAAAATGGGGTATCTTTCCACAAGGCACTTCCAAACCGCACCCTGATAGACTTTAGTTGTCAAGACATCAGTATTTGGACCTTTCAGGACATATTTTGCTGCTGGAGGATTGAGATGTGTGTGTCCCGTACACTGGGGTAATTGATGAGCGACCCTGGAACAACTGTCCAACTTCTGCAGCTGAGTCTATCTACCAGATCACTTGCGTTCCACATGAATATAAGGTTTAGGGAAACTCGAGGACTGCGCCTACCTGAAGAGCCCCAAAGAAGAGCGAAACCGGTCGTTGGGCTGTCGACGAATTTTCAGCAACCTTATAAGTAGTGGATTACAAATGTATACATGTATCGCGATATCTCGAATATCGTACAGACTGAAACGGGAGGTGGCCTGGTGCAACACATTCAGTTGCCTTGAAACATTAAAAACGGGAGATTCAGCTGGGTTTTGGGTGGGTCTCTTGGAAAATTAAATTAGTTTGCAAATGAGTGTATACTCGCGAATTTCGTGCAATTTGGTTTCAAGTAGAACATAAGGTTAACGGAAGCCGGGAGACTGCACCTACCTGATGAGCCACAAAGAAGGGCAAAACCGGCCGTGGGCTGTCGACAAATTCTCAGCAACCTGATGAGTAGTGGATTTAGCACCCTAGCTGCCATGCCACCTGAAGGTTGCACGAGGGCTGGGATACTGCTAGGTCTCCCAAGCCAAGACATGATCAGTCGAGATGTTGAGGTTGGGTTCAAACCAGGGAGCTTGTTGGCGCCTTAACCATTGAACTACCTCGAGCCCACAATTTAATCGGGTGTTTAACTCCGAATACGTCCACCATTGTATTCAACTTCGAGGACTATGCTTGTCCATTGAGTCCTAAGAGAGACCAGACAGGTGTTGGGCTATCGAAGCGCTTCTAGCAAACATACACGCAGGGGAGTGTCTTGCCAGATGGTGTTGACCCACCTAAGATGGAACTCCCGCCAAGGTGTCGTAACAATTAAAAAGTTGGACGCAGTTTCATTGGCGGAGGAGGGATTCGTCGGACGACCACCTCCTCTATTAGTAAACCCACCGTAGACTATCGCCAGATTCATATTTTGATTTGTGAATAACTTTGAACGAATAGAATCATTCTCGACTTATAACAGGCAGAATTTTATGTATCAAACTGAAAGCCTCGCTTCAGTATTTTCAGGGAGGTTCTCAAAGCTAGCACGTGTTTTATTGACGTAAAACATTACTTGTGAGGTTTCTGAAAATCTCCCGACAGCTAGCGACCGGTTTAGGAGGTAGGCATAGTCTCCGAGTTTCGACCATCCTTTAGGTTCTACTGGGACGCCAAATTTTACGCAACTGGTTTGCAAAATAACTTGTCGCTGATGCGAGACTCGGGTGGATAGTTTTCAGCAACTCTGTGAGTAGTGTGTTAGTTGAACAAAATGTGCGGTGGTAGTTCGAAAATCCCACAGATCTATTGATTCACAGATAGAGAAAATTTAGGCATCATCATCATCAATAGTGAGCAATATTCACGTTGATGCCGAGGAACGTTCAATATCTTTCCATTTATTTTAGGCCCATGCAATGGGCGAAAAGAGTTGAGCAGTTCTCAGCTCTAAGCAGATCGGTTTCGGCTGCGATGTACAAACATGGTTGATACCGATCGCATCATATACTTCGGGATGTGTAATCGACTGACTTAAACATGCATAGTGCTGCCTATTTATGCGACCCAGAGCCAAAGGCAAGAAAGTTTCCTTTTCGAAAACCGAACTGGAGAAATTTGTTGATAACCCTTTTCAAATTTATTGTCTATATTGGCAGCAACAACAATTGGAGTGTTCTAATCGAATTGACCAAAGAAACCACCGATCAGTTCCGCTTGCCCCCTTGTTCAGAAATTCCCCCGGAAAACGAACAAACACTAACTAACGAATTTTGAAACAAACAGCACCTACAACAAACAATTTGTTTATGTCACCCGAAGATTTCTTGATTCAATTTAACTGCCTCTTGAGTTCCAACAGAGATAATTGAGCAGAGAAAACAGATGCTTTATAGTTCTCATAGATATGTTGAATCAATTTCATTTATTTATCTATGCATACACACACACACCCCTACAAATAGCATGGGATTGCGAGGCTGTTGAATACGTATTTGGGACATTCCAATCTATCCAGTCCACCCCCGTCCTACATGTAGCCAGCCTTACCATTCGGTCACCACCAACCGCATTTGGCATTGATCGATCGGGGAGGGTGTTGGGTCAGAGGAGAAGTGAAGTTTTGGAAGCTGAGTGGTCTTTTCGGACTTCAATGACTAATTGAACAACAACAACAACAACACGAGGGCTTGTGCAGCCAAAAAGTTACTCAGAGCAGCATATTTGATGTTCCGGTGTTGAAGATCGTTTCGGATTCCCAGAGGAATTAAGTCCGTTCATCGTTTACCGCAGACTCTCTTGAGTAGTTGTGTTTGTCTGTTTAGCTGTGTGCTAGAGGGGGGCTGCGTGACATAATTCATTCCAGGTGTGCTGTATCTGTTCGACCTAAATGCCCTCATTCCGTATGGTGTGTAATTTTAGCCTCTTACCAAAAGAAATTCGCGTGTGGTGTCACCAGAGCCTTTCTGAGGATTTCTCCAGTGTGTCTGCGTGGCTGGTAGACCTTAATCAGGTTCGGTTGGGGCGTTTCCTGAGGCAGGTAGCACGGACACAGTTGGACGCCTCGCGGTGAGCACAACACGCAGTAGGTGGCTAATGTAGCAGCGCCTCAGGTCTTTGGTGTGCAGAGTGCATCGTAGACTCTTCCACCTTCAAACTTGCCATCTTCTCATGCCAGGTGGAGGAAATATCACTCAAATGAAATGAAAATGTAGATATTTTGGATGAATTTGATAGTCTCATGAAAACCAAGAATGGGAAATTGGGTTGGTTTGAACCGAATGCTGTGCCAGTTGTACAGATCAATCTTACAGAAAGCTTTCAATAGTGAGCAAGTGAACTGAGGTGCTTCCTGCCAGTATTTTTCCTGGAAAATACCCCATTCTACGAAGCAAGTCCCCTTCCAACGTCTATCGCCAAAATCCCGCTTGAACCTGATTCGTTACAAGGCATATCCTACGAATTGAAAACGCGAATGCCAGAATATTTCAGCTGATTTATGAATCGCTTGGTCACCTCGGTCAGTTCACGTGCAATACAACACCAGATTACTCTTTGATTCTAAAATTGGGGGAAAAAACAGAAAAACAAATCATTTCATACAGGAAACTACTCACAAGGTTGCTGAAAACTCTCCGACGGCCCACGACCCATTTGCCTACACTTTCGGTCCCCAGTTCTTGAAGTAAGCTTCAGATGAGACACACGAATCTTGACAGACAGCCGCACTTAAAAAGGACTGTCTCACAAGGTTCAGACAGCCCACGAAGCATATTCAGTTGTAGAATATCATAAACGAGAGATTCAGTTGAGTCTCTCGTGAAAACCAAATTGATTTGCAAATGAGTGTATTTCTCG